GCCCCCCAAAAAACCTCCCATGGATATTGGTCGCGAAAGCCTTCGTGTTCAACTACATAATTGTGGTGATGGTGGTGATGATGATGTTGCGGTGCCTGCATGATGAAGTGGGGGATGTTGATGGTGGTGTTGGTGATTTGTGATGGAAATAATAGAAATAAAGCATACTAAAATACAATTATTATTTTATTATTTCCTTTCTACGTGACTTTACCGAAAGAACCAAGAAGATGAATCCCTGCAGTCACGAAAGCTTTAAATCGAGATTTGTGATGGTTTTGACGGTGTTGGTGGTGATGATGTAGCGATCTGGAATGCTCTTCCTTCCAATATTAGGAAGTCACTGGAGCTATGCACTTCTACATCATAATAATATAACGAGCCAAGAATGTGTGTCCCACATGTGACGTCACTCCACATGGGCCCCCCCCCCCCCCCCGTCATTATCATTAGCAGGTGGATTTTTACATTCACGCAGGTCGAGAGGAAATAATATTTTTATAATGCAAATTCACTTTCACTTTTACGTTTCTTTATTGAAAGTGAATCAAATAAATAATACTACGCAGCAACAAAGTGGATTTGGTGTCTTTATTTATTTCTTCAGCACTTGAAACAAAAGGTAAGTCTAATTTATGCTTCTAAATTATGATAAAATAGACTTTCTCGATGATTTTCCAGCCATTGTATCGATTTAAATTTTATGTCAACCCCAGCAAGCGAAAGCAGACGAACAAAGTATTAGAGCAGTGAATTTGAGCAAATTGAAGGTGAGTTAAATACAGTGCTATGGTGACATGAAGTTAGGTGTTTGATGACATAGTTTTATGCAAGATTCACTGCCATTAAATTTACACAAGATACAATTGTACTCTGGTAAATGTTTTCGTAACTTTAATCGTTCTGTTCGGTCTTTTTTAATTGAAAACTGACTTCTGACAATATCAGCAGTCTACTTTTTTCACTCATCGATATCAATCATCCACCGGGGAAGAAAAATCTGTCAGTTCAAAGCTTCAGGTGAGTTGAAAGCAGTTCTAAAGTGAAGTGTTTATTCAAATTATTTTGTGACAGATTGTTTGCCTTTGAAAATTGCACAAGATACAGAAGAGCCGGCCCGACATTCATTGGGCGTTGCTACTCACTAACAGCACGTGCCCCTAATGTATAAGGCTACACGGGTAATCGTTTGTCTTTGTGCAAGTCTATGGCGTATCTACACTGCCCTCTGCTGCCTACGATCGGGATAAATATGTTTGAAATGAAATACAACACTAAACTATTTTTTCTTTTAGCAAGTAAGGCTAAAATACAACTTAAACACTGAACTAAACAGCTTCTTTATATCAGAAGCGATCTGGCCATCACAAATGATAGCTCAACCAAGTGGCTTATCGCGTGGAAATGTATAGCAGGAGCCAAAAATCATAGAATCAGAGACCCATAGAGAGCACTGAAATCCTAAGACTCACGTAGCATCGTAGAGACCCATAATAATCTAAATGTGTGATGTTCATTATAAATGTGGAGGCGAGAGAGATAACATCTCGCAGGATCCGGGGTGGAGCCCACGACCTCCTGCATAACAGGCGAGGTAGTTAACATCTATCCACCACGGCACCCCACTGATTAAGCTCCACACAATCACAGTCATCACCACCATCATCATCAGCCATGGTCAAGCCACTGCTAGATGCAGTGCACTGATTGCTCACCATACGGTGCTGTAACATTGAAATCGTGACTTTGATAAGCTATTGTAATGTATTTACACAGAGTGAAGTGTAAACTTTCTTCAGCACGATAACAATAATGTACAACTTGCATTAACTAAGCAATTAGATTGATAATTGTTTTTTACCCTTTTATCTGGCAACAAAACTGACACTATTTTTACAAGGAGTCATGTTTGCATTGACCACAATACCTGCGGTCGGAATGCAAAAAAAAACACAACTCTGATAATTAATGATATGCACTGTCCTTGAAATTGATTGGTCCACAACCGAGACAGCTTTTCTTAGAACCCAGTCTCACATGGTCCTTGAAATGGATTGGTCCACACCCGAGACAGCTTTTCTTAGAGCCCAGTCTCACATGGTCCTTGAAATTGATTGGTCCACACCCGAGACAGATTTCTTAGAGCCCAGTCTCACGTGATCCTTGAAATGGATTGGTCCACACCCGAGACAGCTTATCTTAGAGCCTAGTCTCACATGGTGTTGGACCAGATGACGCCAAAAGGCGCACAACTCAAAGACAATGCACCATCAGAGTATGAGAGCTCGGGGTAAGCATTTACACCATTGGAACCTCCTTACCCAATTTTCATATTTTGCTACTGGCAAAGGAGGTTCCAATGGTGGTATTTAAATTGACACGATATGTAGAAATTAAAACGCTTAACTATTTAAATTGACACGATATCTACACATTATAAAGTTTAACTATTTACATTAAACACGATGTTTATACATTATGTTTAACTATTTAAATTAACACTATATTTAGACATAACGTTTAACAATTTAAATTGACACGATTTATAGACATAATGTTTAACTATTTAAATTGACACGATATTTAGACATTATAACGTTTAACAATTTAAATTGACACGATTTATAGACATAATGTTTAACTATTTAAATTGACACGATATTTAGACATTATAATGTTTAACTACTTAAACTGACACGATTTCTAGACATTATAACATTTAACTATTTAAATTGACACGATATCTAGATTTTATAACGTTTAACTATTTAAATTGACACAATATCTAGACATTATAACGTTTAACTATTTAAATTGACACGATATTTAGACATTATAACGTTTAACTATTTAAATTGGCACGATAATTAGACATTAAAACGTTTAACTATTTAAATTAACACGATATTTAGACATTAAAACGTTTAACTATTTAAATTGGCACGATAATTAGACATTAAAACGTTAAAATATTTAAATTGACACGATATTTATACTTTATAACGTTTAACAATTTAAATTGACACGATATCTAGACATTATAATGTTTAACTATTTAAATTGACACGATATTTAGACATAACGTTTAACTATTTAAATTGACACGATATTTAGACATAACGTTTAACTATTTAAATTGACACGATATTTAGACATTATAACGTTTAACTATTTAAATTGACGCGATATTTAGACATTATAACGTTAAATTATTTAAATTGGCACGATATTTAGACATTGTTTAACGATTTACATTAAACACAATGTTTATACATTATAACGTTTAACTATTTAAATTGACACGATATTTAGACTTAAATACGTTTAACTATTTAAATTGACACGATATCTACACATTATAATGTTAAACTATTTCAATTAAACACGATATTTAGACATTATAACGTTTAACTATTTAAATTGACACGATATTTAGACATTATAACGTTTAACAATTTAAATTAAACACGATATCTACACATTATAACCTTTAACTATTTTAATTAACACGATATTTAGACATTATAACGTTTAACTATTTAAACTGACACGATATTTAGACATTAAAACGTTTAACTATTTCAATTGACACGATATTTAGACTTTATAATGTTAAACTATTTAAATTGGCACGATATCTAGACATAACGTTTAACTATTTAAATTAAACACGATATTTAGACATTATAACGTTTAACTATTTAAACTGACACGATATTTAGACATTAAAACGTTTAACTATTTCAATTGACACGATATTTAGACTTTATAATGTTAAACTATTTAAATTGGCACGATATCTAGACATAACGTTTAACTATTTAAATTAAACACGATATTTAGACATTATAACGTTTAACTATTTAAATTGACACGATATATAGACATTATAACGTTTAACTATTTAAAGTGACACGATATTTAGACATTATAACGTTTAACTATTTAAATTAAACACGATATCTAGACATTATAATGTTAAACTATTTAAATTAAACACGATATTTAACCATTATAACTTTTAACAATTTAAATTGACACGATATTTAGACATTATAACGTGTAACTATTTACATTAAACACGATGTTTATACACTATAATGTTTAACTATTTAAATTGACACGATATTTAGACATTAAAACGTTTAACTATTTACATTAAACACGATGGTTATACATTAAAACGTTTAACTATTTAAAGTGACACGATATCTACACATTATAACGTTTAATTATTTAAATTGACTCGATATTTAGACATTCTAATGTGTAACTATTTAAATTAAACACGATATCTAGACATTGTAATGTTTAACTATTTAAATTAAACACGATATCTACACATTATAATGTTTAACTATTTAAATTAAACACGATATTTAGACATTATAATTTAAAAATATAATTTTACCTCACGAAATCTTCGCCGTTTATGTTTTTCAAAGCCTGTAAAATAAAAACCAACACGGGACATCGACGACGCTCACGAAACTAAAACATTTAATAAGAAAAACTAAATAATTGAAGCTAAAACCACAAATTTATAAAACGCAACACTTTAACATTATCACCGTTACAGTCGTCAATGTCACCTCACAAACTTAACTCCCTTTGCCCTGTAAGCAGACAAAGCCGCTTCTATAACTAAACACGACAACTTGTTCGCCTTAACTCTTTAACGAATTTAACAATTTTAACTTTTATAATCCTTAACTCGCTAAAGCAACGTGAACAACCTCGCTGCAGGAATCGATTCGTTTCCTCAACTTACCGCCAAATCGATTCCACACGCAAGCCCCATTGAAGCGACGAAATCGAATCACGAATCGATTCCACACGAAAACCCCATTGAAACGATAGAATCGATTCCCTCAGGATTAATCAACCGCCATCGATTCCTAAGCGTGGGACGCGGCAGTTTGTTTTTCCCGCCAAAACTACGACAGGTGCCACGTGACTTGCCCCGTTATAAACATTAAAGTTGTAATAATCTGGTCGTTTTGTGCATTTATAATTACAAGTCACCTCATAGTTTGTAATTAAATGGGTTAACCCATTTTGTGAGGTAACTCGAGATTATAAATTCACAAAACGACGAGATAATTACAACTTTGTGGTTTATCGAGGGGTATGAGGCACGTGGCACCTGTTGTAGTTTTGGCGGGAAAAATAAACAATTATTTTACGTAAAGTATAGGAATATTTAGTCTTTTAATCGCACGTAATAAATAAAACACTCTAGCAATGTACCACTTGGTAACATTTAATTGCAAACTATGAGGTAAGTTGTAATTATAAATGCACGAAACGATCAGGCAATGACAGAAACAAATGTTAAATGCTGTACATTATTACATTTTAAAACATCTCATAAACAAAAAGCACATTGCAATGTGCACCTTAAAGTTTTATTGAAGTGTGAATTGTTTTAAAAGTTAGATTCACAAAGTTTAATTATTCATAAACATTAAGCAACGCGCTTAACATTGAAAGCGTTAAGGTAGTCAAAGTACAGTACAACATTGTCTCAGTACATCATTGTGTGTATATACAAGATGTGAATTTATTAGTTAAAATCGCACATTATATACAAAACACCCCTCGCAATGCACAATTAACATTTATAATTAACAATTTAGACAAGTTGTAATTATAAGTGCACAAAACGAACAGGCAATGACTATACATAATTTTATAACCTAAAAAAATCTCACAAACAAAACGCGCATCACAATGTGCATCTTAAGCCATTTAATGACGAATTATGAGGTAACTTGTAACTTTAAATGCACAAAACGATCAGAAAATTGCAACTTTAGGGGTTTAAAGAGGGCACCTGTTGCAGTTTTGGCGGGAAAAATAAAAAAAATCTCCGCTCAGGAATCGACTCCTTGTCGATTAAATCAACGCCATCGATTCCATTACATCAATGGGCTGTGCGTGGAATCGATTCATGATTCGATTCCATGGCTTCAAAGGGGATTGCGCGTGGAATCTATTGGTGCAGACTTAGACGAATCGATTCCGTCGTGAGGCGTTGAGGGGAGCTTACGCGAGTTTGTGGATTATAAAAGTTAAAATTGTTAAATTCGTGACGAGTTAACTTAGGCGATTAAAGCGAACAAGTTGTCGTGTTTGGTTATAGAAGCGGCTTTGTCTGATTACAGGGCAAAGGGAGTTAAGTTTGCGAGGTGACATTGACGACTGTAACGGTGTGAGGTAATCTGTGATAATAATGTTAAAGTTTTGCGTTTTATAAATTGTTTAGTTTTTAGCTTAAATCGTTTAGGGTTGTGAGCCTCGTCAATGTCGTGTTTTTATTTTATTCTACAGGTTTTGAAGAACTTTTTAAGCGGCACAAGATTTCGTGAGGTAAAAAATTTTCTTGATTTTAAATTATAATGTCTTAATATCGCGTTTAATTTAAATAGTTACAGATTATAATGTCTAGATGTGTATCTTTATACGTGACTTTACCGAAAGAATCAAAGAATAATTCCTGCAGTCACGAAAGCTCCAAAATTAAGATAGATGTGTCTAATTTAAATAGTTACACATTATAATGTCTAGATGTCTAATTTAAATAGTTACACATTGTCTAAATATCGTGTCAATTTAAATAGTTACACATTATAATGTCTAGATGTCTAATTTAAATAGTTACACATTGTCTAAATATCGTGTCAATTTAAATAGTTACACATTATAATGTCTAGATGTCTAATTTAAATAGTTACACATTGTCTAAATATCGTGTCAATTTAAATAGTTACACATTATAATGTCTAGATGTCTAATTTAAATAGTTACACATTGTCTAAATATCGTGTCAATTTAAATAGTTACACATTATAATGTCTAGATGTCTAATTTAAATAGTTACACAATGTCTAAATATCGTGTCAATTTACATAGTTACACATTATAATGTCTAGATGTCTAATTTAAATAGTTACACATTGTCTAAATATCGTGTCAATTTACATAGTTATACATTATAATGTCTAGATGTGTCTAATTTAATTAGTTATACATTATAATGTCTAGATGTCTAATTTAAATAGTTATACATTATAACGTCTAGATGTGTCTAATTTAATTAGTTATACATTATAATGTCTAGATGTCTAATTTTATTAATTATACATTGTGTAGATATCGCGTTTAATTTAAATAGTTATACATTATAACGTCTAGATGTGTCTAATTTAATTAGTTATACATTATAATGTCTAGATGTTTCTAATTTAATAGTTATACATTATAATGTCTAGATGTCGTGTCTAATTTAAATAGTTATACATTATAATGTCTAGATGTGTCTAATTTAATTAGTTATACATTATAATGTCTAGATGTGTCTAATGTAAATAGTTATACATTATAATGTCTAGATGTGTCTAATTTAATTAGTTATACATTATAATGTCTAGATGTGTCTAATGTAAATAGTTATACATTATAATGTCTAGATGTGTCTAATTTAAATAGTTACACATTGTCTAAATATCGTGTCAATTTACATAGTTACACATAATGTCTAGATGTGTCTAATTTAATTAGTTATACATTATAATGTCTAGATGTGTCTAATTTAAATAGTTATACATTGTGTAGATGTCGTGTCTAATTTAAATAGTTACACATTGTCTAAATATCGTGTCAATTGAAAAAGTTACACATTATAATGTCTAGATGTGTCTAATTTAAATAGTTATACATTATAATGTCTAAATATCGCGTCTAATCGCTTAGTTTATGCAAGTTGTATATTATTGTTATCGTGCTAAAGAAAGTTTACACTTCACTCTGTGTAAATACATTACAATAGCTTATCACACTCCTATTTTAAATAAAATAATAGACTTAACTAGCAGTTTTAGCGTTTCAAAGTCACGATTTCAATGTTACAGCACCGTATGGTGAGCAATCAGTGCACTGCATCCAGCAGTGGATTGACCATGTCTGATGATGATGACTGTGTGGAGCTTAATCAGTGGGTTAGATCCCAGACACTGAGAGATGTTAACTACCTCGCCTGGTGTGCAGGAGGTCGTGGGTTAGATCCCAGACCCTGAGAGATGTTAACTACCTCGCCTGGTGTACAGGAGGGCGTGGGTTAGATCCCAGACACTAAGAAATGTTAACTACATCGCCTGGTATGCAGAAGGTCGTAGGTTAGACCACGGATTCTGTGAGATGTTAACTACCTCGCCTGGTATGCAGGAGGTCATGGGTTAGATCCCGGATTCTGTGAGATGTTAACTACCTCGCCTGGTGTGCAGGAGGTCGTGGGTTAGATCCCGAATTCTGTGAGATGTTAACTACCTCGCCTGGTGTGCAGGAGGTCGTGGGTTCAATCCCGGATTCTGTGAGATGTTAACTACCTCGCCTGGTATGCAGGAGGTCGTGTGTTAGACCACAGATCTTGTGAGATGTTAACTACCTCGCCTGGTGTACAGGAGGTCGTGAGTTAGATCCCGGATCCTGTGATATGTTAACTACCTCGCCTGGTGTGCAGGAGGTCGTGAGTTAGATTCCGGATCCTATGAGATGTTAACTACCTCGCCTGGTGTACAGGAGGTCGTGGGTTAGATTCCGGATCCTGTGATATGTTAACTACCTCGCCTGGTGTGCAGGAGGTCGTGGGTTAGATACCGGATCCTGTGAGATGTTAACTACCTCGCCTGGTATGCAGGAGGTCGTGGGTTAGATCCCGGATTCTGTGAGATGTTAACTACCTCGCCTGATACACAGGAGGTCGTGGGTTCAATCCCGGATTCTGTGAGATGTTAACTACCTCGCCTGGTGTGCAGGAGGTCGTGGGTTAGACCACGGATCACGTGAGATGTTAACTACCTCGCCTGGTATGCAGGAGGTCGTGGGTTAGATCCCGGATACTGTGAGATGTTAACTACCTCGCCTGGTATGCAGGAGGTCGTGGGTTAGACCACAGATCTTGTGAGATGTTAACTACCTCGCCTGGTATACAGGAGGTCGTGGGTTAGATCCCGGATCCTGTGAGATGTTAACTACCTCGCCTGGTGTACAGGAGGTCGTGAGTTAGATCCCGGATCCTGTGATATGTTAACTACCTCGCCTGGTGTACAGGAGGTCGTGGGTTAGACCACGGATCCTGTGAGATGTTAACTACCTCGCCTGGTGTACAGGAGGTCGTGAGTTAGATCCCGGATCCTGTGATATGTTAACTACCTCGCCTGGTGTGCAGGAGGTCGTGAGTTAGATTCCGGATCCTATGAGATGTTAACTACCTCGCCTGGTGTACAGGAGGTCGTGGGTTAGATTCCGGATCCTGTGATATGTTAACTACCTCGCCTGGTGTGCAGGAGGTCGTGGGTTAGATACCGGATCCTGTGAGATGTTAACTACCTCGCCTGGTATGCAGGACGTCGTGGGTTCGATCCCAGATTCTGTGAGATGTTAACTACCTCGCCTGGTATGCAGGAGGTCGTGGGTTCGATCCCAGACCCTGTGAGATGTTAACTGCCTCGCCTGGTGTGCAGGAGGTCGTGGGTTAGATCCCAGACACTGAGAGATGTTAACTACCTCGCCTGGTATACAGGAGGTCGTGGGTTCGATCCCGGATTCTGTGAGATGTTAACTACCTCGCCTGGTATGCAGGAGGTCATGGGTTAGATCCCGGATCCTGTGAGATGTTAACTTCCTCGCCTGGTATGCAGGAGGTCGTGGGTTAGATCCCGGATTCTGTGAGATGTTAACTACCTCGCCTGGTGTACAGGAGGTCGTGGGTTTGACCACGGATACTGTGAGATGTTAACTACCTCGCTTGGTATGCAGGAGGTCGTGGGTTAGATCCCGGATTCTGTGAGATGTTAACTACCTCTCCTGGTATACAGGAGGTTGTGGGTTAGATCCCGGATCCTATGAGATGTTAACTACCTCGCCTGGTATACAGGAGGTCGTGGGTTAGATCCCGGATCCTGTGAGATGTTAACTACCTCGCCTGGTATGCAGGAGGTCGTGGGTTAGACCACGGATCCTGTGAGATGTTAACTACCTCGCCTGGTGTGCAGGAGGTCGTGGGTTAGATCACGGATTCTGTGAGATGTTAACTACCTCGCCAGGTATGCAGGAGGTCGTGGGTTAGACCACGGATCCTGTGAAATGTTAACTACCTCACCTGGTATGCAGGAGGTCGTGGGTTAGATCCTGGATCCTGTGCGATGTTAACTACGTCGCCAGGTGTGCAGGAGGTTGTGGGTTAGATCCCGGATCCTGTGAGATGTTAACTACCTCGCCTGGTATGCAGGAGGTCGTGGGTTAGATCCCGGATTCTGTGAGATATTAACTACCTCACCTGGTATGCAGGAGGTCGTGGGTTAGATACCGGATCCTGTGAGATGTTAACTACCTCGCCTGGTGTGCAGGAGGTCGTGGGTTAGACCACGGATCCTGTGAGATGTTAACTACCTCGCCTGGTATGCAGGAGGTCATGGGTTAGATCCCGGATTCTGTGAGATGTTAACTACCTCGCCTGGTATCCAGGAGGTCGTGGGTTAGACCACGGATCCTGTGAGATGTTAACTACCTCGCCTGGTATGCAGGAGATCGCGATTTCGATTTTAACCCTGCGAGATGTTATCTCTCGCCTCCACATTTAGAATTAACATTACACGTTAAGATTATTATGCGTCTATGTGGGTCTCATTGGTGCTACGTGAGTTTTAGGATCTCTGTGGGTCTCTATGGCTCTCTGATTCTATGCTTTTGGCTGCTGCTATACATTACCACGCGATAAGCCACTTGGTTGAGCTATCATTTGCGATGGCCAGGTCAGAGGCGTAGCTAGGGGGGGGCAGGGGGGTACATATGTCCCCGGGCGCCAAGATAAAGGGGCGCCAAAATGAGGCTTACAACATTACATTATAACTTATTGCGGCGGGCGCGGCAGCCTGAAACTACTGCACAAATATACACCTCTACCTAAAAGTTTATATATCCCGCCACACACAGCCTACATGTCATGTAATTACATTTTGGTATGCGCGCCTATTAAAAACTTACATGGAAGAACGTCCCAAACAACAGACAGGCGCAGTCTTTCAACCTTAGTCACTGGCCTGTTTTTTGGTGGCGGAAATTACGACATGATCATGAACTTGTTGACAGTAACGGGGAAGATGAGATAAAATAATCTTCTGATAGAGAAGCTGAAAATACTCATTATGATGCTGTTCCTGCTGTACTAAGGTTTCACGATGTTGGCTACTTATAATTTGATAAAACGACAAAGCTATCGAAAATATCACAGCCTCTTCGCAATGAAATGATTACTCTCAGATCCTTGCCTTTGCAGCACAGAGACAATCTTACCATCAGTATCCAGAGAA